ACATATAATAATCTTTGTAATATTACAGTTCGAATATTTCCTTAATCTTTCCTCGACCCATATGACAAAAAAAGTAACGCATGTTATGTTATGATACTTACCGAATTCGTCTTAAAATCCTCTAACAGGTAGGCGTAAAAAAATTATAGGTATATTTACAAAAAATTGAAGGTGGCCTTGAAAAATCATGTCAAAAAAGAGTTGACCAAAAATTTGCTATAATCCGGTTAAAGCTCTCTTGAAACCATGCTATACCTGATAAAAACATTTTCGATCGGTCTGTTAATAACAGAGTAATCTCTACTGATCACGATTCGTGGTTCACCCTGTATATTATGTATGTCACTAAGTAGAATCGGTCTTTTAGTTTCTCACCCAGGATTCCAACACAATCGACCCCGATTCAACCGTGATTCGAAGCAAAAGCAAAGCTCATCATCGACTCCCCGCAGGCCGAGCTGCGCCAGGGTCCGGTCATTACCGACTTTCTTCATCTCCCGAGCTTCCACTATAAAGCCATTTCTGTCATTCGATGCTAATACCCGCCGCATCCTTACAAGGCTCTGTGGATACGTCCGAGCTCGTTCGATGGCGACTAGTCGTCGTAACCGATCGTGGGAGCCTTCTACTGGACGCGGCGCTCGTTTCACAGGATCGAGCCCGGTTACGAGAATTCCGTCACTGTTCTCGCCCGACGGCTCGCAAAGAAATCGTGTTCCACGGATGCTCCCAGCGAGATCGAGCGTGACTTTTGCAGCCGCGAGAGACCACTTTTAATTTTCCTCGAAGCGACTGCACATTTACCGCGAACACGGCTGGCTTTTTTACGTTTGCATGGCCCCGCAACGGATCGAGACCTAAAGATGTTTAAACTTATTAGAGTTCGAATATGTGACTGAACGGGGTTGGAATTTGACAAGACACATAGAAAGGAATAAGTTATGGTAATTATTTGGAATAAAGGCGACCTCACCGATTTCAATGACCTTCAAGTATGTTGGCAAGGTCAACATTCTGAGTGTTATTTTCCTATATATGTTAATAGACTTTCTTGAAAATTGTATCGCATCAAGAAAATTAATTTTGAACATTTGTAGAATATTCTTCCTATAGGATAGGACTTGACTGTCATGTCTGTCCATTTTTCGCTCTTTCTACTTGAATTAGATTTGTATAAAAGTAGTGACCGTTTTTCCGACGAAAATCTTCATTAGTCAAACAATTTCATTGAAAGATTTCTATTAATTTGTATCTGAAGGGTCACCTCCTACAATAGGACGGGTACTTTAATATATATTTTATTAGTTGACGTTATTTTACGTTTTTCCCGTTTTACGGGATCCATCGGTAGTCAGCAAAGTCCAATACCCTTGCTACTTGAAAACATCAACCTTGAATTCTGAATGCGTTCTTGGCGTCTACACGACCTACCCTATGACGAGGCACGCGATGCTGGTAGCGTGTCGAAGCAGATGAACACGTGCAGCCAGTGTAAATATTTAGCCTTTGGAACGTTTGCACGTCTTGCTTCTACTTTCTCTTTGTTCCCGCTCCTTCTTGTAAATAAGTTCACTCTACGAGCTTTCGACGGCCGCGGCCAGTGTCTGTAAATATCGATGACGTTTCCGAAACACCTTCGCGTGAAATGATTGAAAGATCCCTTGCATCTATTCGATTTGTGTTTTGATTGATAATCTTTGTAGTTTTCTTAGTCTCTGACGTACTATAGCATTTTTGGATATTATAGACAACTTTGTACTGTGTCATGAATTTGTATTTAACAAATAGGACAAAATGTTTTTTTATCAGTTGCTCTTATGTAAATAATTTGAAGTAGTTACAAGCATTGACTATATTTTCACATTTATATTGGTTAATCGAAACATTCAAGTATCTATTTTTTTTTATTGGAAAATTCACTTTGTTATATTGTGAAATGACTTCGTTCTGGAAGAACTCAATCTCAACATAAATAATAGTAGAATTAAAAGAAATATCACTTGCTACATTTTTATAAATGAGACTTTATTAAACGTGCTCAAACCTCATATTATGTTCAGGTAGTAACTATACTGGTTTGGTTTGGATTAAATTCTATTGAAATTAACATCGAACCAAATGATTGTTTATAGAATAATTTGACGCAAAAATCAACCGAAGAACTATGACTGTCCGAACATAGGAAATTAGTAAAGTTGAAAATTTGCATTTTTTTCAAAATCAAATTTCTCGAAAACTAAGGATGCTGGCGCAAACCCGTTTGCATATTCGCATTCAGGGCACAAAAAACCATAAAAAAAACGGCTATAAACTATCAGAAGTCCGAAAAAAAGTTAAAATTTGTTGAACGGTATATTCAAGGTTTCTCGTCGTCTAAGAATCTCTTAAAAATTCCACAGTATTTTAAAATTACAGATTCAAAAAGACAAATCATTACGTTGGTACCTGGTCTCCCCTACAGTTCTCTCCATAAGCCCCTGTAAAAACTGTTGTTTACCCACCACCCGATACATACCCAAAAATTCGGTTGACCAAGGACCACCGTTAAACCGTGGTGCATTCAGGGTCGAGCATTAACAAGCCGATTTCCATGTTTCGGCTAGTTAGAGGGATCGAGTGGCGCATCTACATGCCCGGCGCAGGCATCGACGTAGCAAAAGGATCGGATAATTGAAGTCCGCTTCCTCTCGTGGCACGGGAATCGAGGCGTTCCGGGCGAAGTCCTTAGAAGGAAACGGCGGAGACCCGCTGGTATCGCGGACATGCGATCTGTCTTTATGGTCCGAAAGTGGGCGTCGTCGGTCCCGCTTCACAATGCCCGGCGTAACGACGACACAACGAGGACAACGAAAACGACAAAGACGGGGGCCCGACCGAGAAGAACGGAGGAGGACTCCTTCTCCCGTCTTGTTGATCCGGCGAAACACCGCGGACGCGTGTCCGCCGGGTGACAGGAGTGACGTCCGACTCTGTAGTGGTCGTGAGTTACCGCTACCGTGGACAAATTATTTAAAAACTCTGAGAAAAGTTGCTTCTTTCGACGTGCATTTTCTGTCAGAGTTGCCCAGAATTTTATTGGAACAATTACGTAGCAAAAAGCAGTCGTATCTAAGAGCGTCATCTTTAACATTTAAAATTTTTTTAAATTTTTTTGCGAAGAAACTATAACAACTTTTACAGTTAACGTTTCAGGGTATATTTATACATATTTCAAGAACATTTATAATTTTTTGATACACAATCGCTTATAAAAAAAGTGATGTCCGTAATACCAGCCGCTCTGTCTATCTAAAATAAAAATGTCAAGAAGATTCTTAATTCGGAGTTTGGCTATGGCAAGTACCACAACGAATGAAAAAACTCGGTAATTAACAAAATGGCGACATTTTCGAATTTGACTATCGATTCTTCCGTGTTTTTTTAACCTTCAGGCGCTCAGAAAAGAAAAAATAGAAAAAAGGAGGATTTTTAAAATAGTAGTGTATGTCCAAATTAAAAAAATTTGCCACTGTAATTCTCAACCTTTGTTACTATTTTTGATGATTTAAAATGGGTTTGATATTGATCAGGTGAAGGTTAAAAATGTACTTATATGTAATAAGCAGAATTTAAATAATTTCGATAGACACTTAAATTCTTGACAGAATTATTGTATCGAAATACTCTTTATTGTGTATATCTACATATGTAAACTGACACAACGACATCAATCGTCTATTGTTATCTGTTACTACCGCACAGAATGCAGCGTACTTGAATGGGTCTTGAGTAGTCCCGCGGTGCAAATTACCACGTACATACACATTTTCTGCCTGCCACGAATTAATTATCAGACCGGAAATTCGAAACACTCCGCGGGGTACCAGGCAAACTGTAGGATATCCATGAGATATAACTGTAGGGTATCCGCGAGTACTCTGCCATCCTTTCCGCCATCGTGGGGCTGAAACGAACCGACCGTAGAACACCGTAGGCGTTCTGTGTACCATCAGTGACACCTAGACAACAACGAATTATTGCACTGGAGCAGTATACCCGAGTCACTCGTGAGCGCAGGATCACGTTTGGTGAATTATGATCAAGTCCATCGTATTTCATGGCTGTATACATACAACAAAGATACTGTGCTCTAAATCTCGTGGACTGTTGAGGTTAATTTCATTCACAACGAAGCATTTACCTTGAATAGTTTTCTATATCGTAGGAATTTATAAATAAATTTTACACAGTTGTAAGGTGGTGCGTTAATTTAATTGCAATGTTACCTCGAAACTAAAAAAGTAACAGAATACTTAAGAGAAGTACGATGGTCGAGGAAGGAAATTTACTTATTTGTATAAATGTTTGGTTGGAAGTTTATTCCTTCTAAAAGTTAAAATTATTGTAGTGAAAATCTGCTGGATACGCGCGCAATTGAATAGGGCTTGGCTAGCACGTCTGTTCATTGCATTCAGTTTCTACTTACGACCATGACGAATACACGCGTTTCAGATTAATTCGACTTATCTTTTCACGTAACATAACTTTCGGAGTCACACTGTATACCGTGCCATGTAACCATAAAAATAACTTATTTTATATTGTAATTTTCAAATTAACAAAATACTAAAAAATGGAATGTCACATGCCAGCGTATTGATCATGATAACACCATTATTACTAGACTCCCAATATTATGCATTTATGGCATACACGGTTCTCTATAATTCAGTAAACTTAAGAGTTTAAGAAAGTATAAAGAGATTTTTATCTTATTTGGAACCTGATAGAATAGTAAATAAAGTAAATAAATCTTCCTTCGAACCCAGTTCTGGCAAATTAGCCCATAAAAATCTATATTTGCATAAATATTCGCGGGCCAAATTTTACTTATTAAAAAGTCAGAAAAATATTTTTAATTTTAAACCTGTCTTATAGTTAAAAAGACGCTAAACTACTAAAAAAAATGTACTTTTGTCGAATAATTATAAATTAACACGTTTCGAATGTTCTGTTCTCAGGTGTATCAAGTGGAATACGTGATAGTAAAGGCAGCCAATTCACCGCGACCAGCTGCTTGGATTTTGGAGAAGTCTCTGGACGGTGAAAATTTCCAGCCGTGGCAGTATTACGCTCCCAGCGATGAAGAATGTTGGACGCGATATTCCGCGCCGCCCGTTTCCGGAAAGCCCGTTTACATCGGCGACGACGAAGTCATTTGCACTAGCCTATATTCCAGACAGACACCTATGGAAAACGGAGAGGTACTTATTGATACTGACTTTTACATCTTTTTATACGAACCGTAAAATTTTCTTAATTTTTTAATTACATAGAATTTTTTAACATTTAACAAGTACATTAATTCTATACATTTAATGATTTATAAATTTTATATAAAATTAATTTTATAAATTTATTTGTTCACTCCTAGCCAATATTAAATACATATTACTATTTCTTCCCTAATACGATATTTTCTAAACGCTTTTTGAACATTACTAACATGCAATTTAAAAGAATGTTATGATTGATTATACTTAGATGGTGAATTTTTATGCAAAATAACATTTTGCAAAGTGATTCATGAAGACAAGAGTAGTGATTCATTAACATAAAATAGGGATTTCGTTGCATCTAATGAATGTTTTGTCTTTTATTAGGAGAATTGTACATACATTTTTAAAGATTTCGGTACTTTGAGCGACATTTCATATTTGAAATTCAAAATTTTAGTCTAAAAGATTCTGTTCTTCTGTTAATTTTCCGTTCTAAAACACAGGTCTTGACCATAACAACTCAGAAACAGAATATAATGAAATTTGTATGGTAATACCATATCATTCGCCAAACGAACAAACTTTATAACCATGTTCTACCATTCCTTTCCGCAATAAAATCGATCATCGTGAAACAGCTCTCACAGTTAGCCAGAGAAGTCTCGATCATCACATTGCAAATAGTCCCTCATCACAGATATTGATTAATTACAATAATTACCAACCAGCACAGTCCTTCGAGTCGTTCAGCTTCCATTTGTTTATTCAATAAAACCGACCCAGACTATAAACACACCTGTTCAAGTGAAACTCCACTGTAATTGTGAACGGTTTAAAGGGACACTGGACTACCCCATAATGATTACCAAAGCTCGTCTCATATATACGATCGAAGAGGAAGATGTCGATTCAATAATGTTTGTAGTTTGTCCGGAAATTTTCATGACTATCAATCATCGATCGTTCTCGTTAAAAAATAACGGTTCTCACTGCATATTTACATTCCACATGAAAATTCAAGGCGCCAAAATAGCCGTTATTTCGATTTATCGTAGTAGCCGTTCGAAACGAGATCATTAATTACCGTTCATTCTACGCGGACCGTTCCTATAATTACATGATTGGATGATTAGCCGGACGATGGTTGAACGGTGTACCCGTTGAGGGTACGTCTCGACGGAAACTAGTCTTCCAAGGCATTTCCGGAGAACATCGAGGCTTTTTGCCGGTGTATCACCTATCCGCGGATATAAAGTAATTTGCACATGTCGGTGGGGATTGATGAAGTATTTAATAATTAATCGAACATAGCCTTACGTATTTTTAGTTATATGGTGCTTGTTAATATTTCGAACGTGCCAATGTTGTGTTTATATTAATTATTCTTTATTTGTTTAATACTACAAACAATCGGATACGCTATAAGTCTGCAGGCTAACAATAATCTTTCGTATTTTGTAGAGGAATAAAATTTAATCTGAATTTTTTAAGTAGTTGTTGGAAACTTGTTAGTTGATATTAATCGCATAAATTATTTGTAGTTTTAATAATGTTACTACATACGAACATAGCTTTTTCTTTTCTTTCTGTTTATATTGAATTTATACTACATATTTAATAAATTATAGGTACAGTTTTCGTTTAGTTGCTGCATGTATAAGCCGAATAAAAAATAGTTTGAATTTTATTGGTAGAATTATAAAAACCTTTAGTAAAATTTAAAAAGTTTAAAAATTGTAAACAGTCAATAATTTACTTAAAACACGATCGAAGAATTTAATTTAATGCAGCAGACGTTAAAGTAAGTGAAAAACTTCAGATTATAAATTAATTTGGGCAAAAGTTGACCTGTAAACGGTCATTTATTACGAGTCAGACACTAACTACCATATTTTACAATGTAGATTAAATGTATGTCTCTATTTATCATTTTAATATACAGTATTTTCCGCATCCTATCCGTAACATAATATATCGGTAATTTAAAATTTATGAGCTATTCATGAGTAGTCTGAACCTGATTCGGGATTAATCTGCAGACCCATGTTGACTCGATGTTTTTTCGCCACTTGAGTGGGTTCTATGCATCTACAAATTGGTCAATTCTGTTTTCAGAACCACCCTACACAATATCTTTAAGAAATTTATATCCAATAATTAGTTGATCTTATCCAACAAGAAATCGAAAGACATAATTTATACAACAACCTACTAATTATCACGTGTATCCATCAATCTTAGTTTCTTACTACCAAACCAAAAGTCTATTGATAAATGGTCTCAACACAAAACCTCGATTATCCGAATAATGTTGTCTAACAACAGATATATTTAGGTCTATTTTATGATATAAATCGTAGGTACAGGTGCCATTACGTATAAATATTCCAATATCAAACGACATGATTCCAACAATATTGAAAGTATCTAGATGTGTTGTCCAATAGCTCCCACCTTCTTCAATTTATGAGAATTCATAGAATCACCATTAGAATGTCTAATGGTTAAATCCTTTCAGTCTGCAGATATCATATTCTTCTAATAATCTTTTAATTTCAGTGATTTCAAAACTATTAGAACTAGTCACGTGAAGAATCACGTCTGCAGACCTCACAATCTTTCTTTACCGTGTAACGATTGAAATCTCTTGACCAAACAAGTGTCATTATATTCCTCTACCAGCCTCTTTTTGCCCGAGTGTCTCGCTAAATACGTACCCAAAAAACGACCATAGTGGTCCGCATACATATTTACGTCCCGTTTGCACCTCGGAATATACGACCGCTTTGTCCTTTCATTAGGGCGCAAGTCTCGCTCGAATTTCATTGTTCCGTGGCCTTAAAGTCGCTGCTGCGAAATAGAGCGGCGGATAATTAGAGCTTATAGGCCGTGCACGAGCCCCGCGGTACGCTCGGGGCTCGGTTTTGTGTAAACTGGAGAAGGTGGACGGGGAAAAAAGGAGTAGGACGGAACGATCGGTCGCGGGTTGAGAGGGAAAGGGAGACGGAATCGATGATACAAAAACGGCGATCCCTACATTCCGGCCATGTATGGCGTAGGCTGACCTTATATGGGTCTCTCACGTACGCACCTCCTAGGGGGGGTTGCCAGCTTTGCCAGCTTCTGTACGCCGGGTAGAAACCGACGCGACGGTGGAAAAAAAATCGGGAATCGAGGAACGGGGAATCGGCCGAGAGCGACGTGTGCGTCACCGCTGGAACAGCGCGGTTTTCACGGGAATCGGTTGTTCCAGGATCGGAGACCTGGATGGATCCTTTTGGACGCATCTGTGATTGTTTTTCGTTCGAGGTGAAACGTACAATGGGTAAAAAAAAAGTATTCGTACTTTAAAACGGAACAACTCTTTCAAAGTTGAACCAAGTGACTTGAGTTTTTTTTTGTGAAGTTAGATTCATTTTCTAAATGTGTAAACGAATTTGCGATCGCGAATGACCTGCAGATTCAAATTGTTGGAAGGGAGAGGTATATGTACAGTGAGTCAAAAAAGTATTCGCACGCTATTTAAAAGCAAACAACTTTTTCAAAATTGCACCAAGTGACTTGAGATTCTTTGTGAAGTTAGAAGGATTAGTTTACTAAAGGATGTGCTAAAAAAATTTTGAAAAATTTGCGACTGTTTGCAATCTCGAAGGAAATAGTAAATATTGTTTTTTACAACCTTTTTGTCTAAGACTGTAATGAAAATTTAATAAATACATTTCGAAGATTTATGTCAGTTATACATATACATGCTGCAACTTTTATTGAAATCTGTTAATACAGAAACTAGTAACAGGCATCGAAAGATGTAAGAATCATTAGATATACTACAGGTGTAGGTCAAAAGTCGCGAAAGACTGCGGTTTTTCAACATTTTTAACCGTGTTTATCTCATGACAACGTTAACCGATTTCGGTAAAATTTTCAGCATGCATATAACTAACATAAATCTAAGCGATGTATTTGTTAACTTTTTATTACAATATCAGATAAAAAAAGTCGCATAAAGGGACCTTTTGAAGAGAAACTATCTGAAATTCTTTGTTACATTATAAGTAACATTTTTTCCTAAATTGTAGTTTCTCTTGCTTCTTCATGTATAGTGTTTTGTCTTTTCATTTGTATAGTGGACAAAAGTGTTTAGTATGATGTTAGTAAAGTAGTATAATATTGACGCGAGGCGTTTGTATAATGTGAGTCTAACTGGTGTTTGTCTTGGGAAAGATGACGACCTATGCGTAACAAGGCGAAAAAATTAGTCAGTCGTGAAATGTAGGAAAGTGTAGGTGTGTGTATCCCGAAACCCATGTAATTGTTCCGTATTAGGCGCCGCGTATTGCCATTTATAGAACTCGTTTTCTTAACACACGGCGCCATTCGCGAATGATTTACTCTTTCGGGCTCATTGTTAACGTTCTCCTGAATTTAGTACCGTAACCGAGCGTTTTAGAATCGTCGTTATTAATTGCTGCTTTCATTCAAGCCGGTAATTTACGTCAACAAGTGAACAAGATTAGAACGTTCCGATTATATTTATTGGCGACGTATATACGTTACAGAAGTTACTGGAAAATCTAGCTGTATTTAAAACAATTTTAAGTGCACAAACAGGTAATTGTTTGGATGCAATTAAATTTTTTGAAAAAAGAAAATTAACAAGGATTTAAAAAAGTTGGTAGGGACTATGTATTAGCTTATGACAGTAACTGTTTAATTAATGATTTTCATGTTTAAATAAGAACTTTTGCCTTCATATAGAAAAATTCCCGTTATTTATGCATCAACCTAATGCATAGAAGAAATTTTAGCTCTGAAGATCGAGCAAGACGTTCTCCACAAAATTTACTTTGTTTACCGTTACATAAACCGTACATTGTTCCTTTGGATTAACAAAGGTTAAGAAAATACATTTTAATAATGCAATGTTTACGATACAGTTTTATTCCCACATGACATTTAATGTTGAAGAACAATGGGAACACATCTCGACCAAGCACCTATTTTCCATTTCAGATCCATACACATCTGGTGAACGGCAGACCCGGTGCCCTGAATCACAGCACGACCCTTCAGGAATTCACTAAGGCTAAATACGTGCGGTTACGGCTTCAGGGTCTCCGACGTAGCGGCGAGGCGATCGTGGACAAGAGACGCGCCTTTTATTCGATAAAGGAAATTAATATCGGCGGACGGTGTTTGTGTTCTGGACACGCGGCACGGTGTCGTTACAGCGTTCAACATGGGGTGAGTTGACGACAATTCGTTAATAATATTCATTTCATTTAAATAGGTTCTTCCTATCACAAAAACCACTGACAATAAGTCATATAGCCTTGGCCAAAAGTATTAGACATCCTTATTATGATAGTTTGCTGCGGAAGCTATTTCTTTGAAAGCTTTTTATTGTTTATCATTTATTGTCGGGCAGTTCAAAGGAATTTTAAAACTGTTGACAAGGTTTATAGTGGGTCATGAAACAACTGAGCAGTCCATAGTCTATACTTTATGTTTCTTCCTAAAAGTTACAATCTACTGACAGTACTCGCTGCCAACACACATTAACTTGTCTTTAGGTTTGCTGTTAAAATTTTGAAAGTTAGAAAGTTTTTCTTGAAATGTGCTATAAAAGAGTGAACTGAGTGACCATCAACGCAAGTTAATTTTTCTCTTAAAGGAACAGGGTAAAAGTCAGATAGAAATTGCTGTGATTTTCAATCATTAGTAATGATTCGTTTGCGACAAAGAAGCAAAAATTCAAACGGTTTCTGATGGTGGTTAATTGAAATAAAAGTGCTAGAAAAATCTAACCTGTAGCTGCAAAACAGGCACTTGATGATCGATTGTTGCAATGAAACCGACGATATCAATATTTTCAAACCGCTCTGGCATCATGCTGCTTTGCCAAATTTGTCGTTCAGGAAATGTTAACTATGTTACAACTTACCCCGTGTTACAAACTGCCCCGGACTCCCCTACATACTATCGTATATTATTGTTTACCTTTGTTCGTATGATTATTAAAATCGTAATAAAAATAAGATTATATAAATTTAGTGTAAATTCAGTGTTTGTGAACTTTCAATGTTTGACGGTCATATTTGCCGCCTTAGCAGCTACAAACGTACATCGCCCACGCGCAGGAATGAAAACGTTTTATGTTTGAAGTGTCGATGTCCCAACAGTCATAAATTTCACACTTGAAACGTCGACTCCGAAACTAGTTACAAATTCCCTAATTCACACGTTGTATCCTGTTAAGTCGAAGGAGGTAACATTCACACGTTCGTTTTTGGAAAATTACAAATCCAGTAGTTGCCACATTCATTCGGTAGCTTTTGTATTTTCCACCTAAAACTTGATAAAATTCATTAAGAATTCGTAAGGTTCTAGTATTCGTTTAAAAAAAGATACCATCGTCATATTAGATGTCACGTTATCTAAGTTAAAATTTTCATTACAAAATGAATTTAAAAAATGTATATTTCAATACTAGTTAATCCATTACAACCTACTTAATCTAATAGTACTTAACAGACGATACACTGATAAAAAGAACTATTTTTACATTGCTGACGTTAGATTATAATTATCAACACTGCTCTCAACATAAAACTAAGTTTTTAATAATAATTAAAAACTATTTATTATATGCCAAATTATCCTATAATAATTTATTTTTTTAAATAACTTAGTCTAATGTGAATTACTGTTAACTCAGTGTTGCATTGAAATCACTATTGTGAATTGAAATTAAATAAACAATACTAACATGAAACTATACTGCCAATATAATATGAAAAGAAATTACTCACACTATTGTGTATTATCGAGACACCGTATTTATTGTGAATAAATACGATAAACAAAATATAAGAAGTAAATCGTTACAGGGCTTAATCTTGTTCGAATTCGCCTTTCTAAAGTTAGATTTCACGAATACCTCGGTTTTCGGCCGGACAGGCCCTGAGACGCAAGAAATAAATCCGTCGAAAGTGCCATAAACTTGTCAGACCTCTGTCTGCCAACGCTGCTAATGGCAGGATCGGTCTTTTGCTTCGAAGCCGCTGTATCTCCGTGGAAGCTACCGTATATTAAGGTTCTACGATCGTACAGTATACTTCAAATTCTGCAATCATTAATAAATTACGAATCTCTATGAAAATTTACAATTAAACCCTTTGAGGTCACCTCTGACGTGACAAAATTTATGGGGAATCAGGAAATTTCAAGTGCAACGGGTTAATAGGTCAGTTTATATAGACAAGAGTTAAATAGAATTTTCTGTTTTATATTCAGGTGTTTTATTATAAATTTGTCTAAGACAATGCAAAGATTTATTTATTTTATTATACTTCGGTAATAATTCATTCTTTTGCTATGTTTTCTTCATTCTTGTGTGATACAGAAGCATAAAATCGGCCTATGATTGTTAAAAATGGTGCAGAATGCAGAACAGTTACGAATATTAAGTTAATATTATTAACACATTGGCGCCCGAAAATGTTTCGTTGAAATTTGCTGCAATATTTATCCACTGAACTCAGACATCAAACTAAACATATATTCTATAATAACGAAGCAAATAATATTCAAATAGAAGAAAACTACTGTGATGTAGGGAGAAATAAATGAATATGAAATGCCTGAAAACGAGATTTCCCGTCATCCTGGCGCCAAATTGGTGCATCACAGCACCAATCAGCATCATACATTTTTAATTTTCTTTTTTCTTCTACATTGTTATTAAACACGGTAAAAAATATTAAATTACTCATTAATGCACCACAAACATTATCTTTTATAACTAGACTACGAATTCTATACATTGATAGTACCTACGTACATGTGTTTAAAACACAATAGAATGAAAGGACTAATTAAGTAATTTTAAAAACATTTTATTCTTACTATAATAAGACTTCTGAGGAACACGAGGTAATTAAATTTTGTTTACTTAAATTGATTTATAAAAAGTGGTCTTTGCACGAAAATCCACGATCTATTGTAGTTTTAAAATTAAAAATTAAATTAGTTTTCGTTTCAAATTGAAAATTTATTGATAATATCGTGGCACAGGTTACAAATACATTTAATAAAAAGAGATTCCTTGTTAATCGTTCATCTGCCACGATTCCTCGAACGAAATGGGAACGACGGTATACGAGATATTAATCACTCGTTTCCCTCGCATTTTCCGTTGGTAGTATAATCATGCAACCAGAGACGTAAGAATCCTGAATGCCATTAACATCCATAAATGGACATTCGCGAAGTCGAGGAACAATCGTGATATTTTAATGTCCTCGATTCTGTAAACTCTTGTCAATTGTTACGAAACTATTCACCGTCCAACATTAATCACGTTCACATGCGTCGTGTTATTTCCTTTTTGAGGAGTAATCAAATTGGAGGAATCTGTGGTCGATATAAATCTTCTACTCGCAAAATAGTTCGAAAAATCAATTTATGCATACAAAGTCGTATTGTTCTATTTAGAGAAAATTGCAATTGCACTTTGTAAGTGAATCGATATGCATACTTTCGACGAAAATCATGCCAGAAGATATTCGAAATTACTAAACAGTGCAAAATTTAAATCTACAATTTTTTGTCTAACTTCACTTAGAACAGAACTATAGCTTGGACCCAGTTGCTAGAATCACCGTTGTACGTAGTTAATAGTCAACGAATGTTGCCATCGATTTCGACCATTGAATAATGAAGCCCCTGGAATCGCCTGAAAAAATTTGATCGGACCACGATCGAGTGAAGATTGAACTGAACGTTCTTGCAGTGACGCTGTTGACTTTACAATAGATCGTTTAGAATGGAGTTTTGGTGATGTTCTTCGGGGTAAATTGAATTAGTTTTTGGGAGGGTCCGATCCGCCGCGCATCCGACCATTGGCACGTAGACGGAATTGCGACCGCATTACTGAATACAGACCGATTTGGCGGAGCATCTGGGATATTCCGACTTACGTCTCAATCAAACTGTCATCGTCAATCATACAAGATTACCATTTGCAAATCTTATCGTTTGCTTCTGTTAGTATATTAACTGACGTGATTTCATGACACTGAAAATAATTTTGTCAATCATTTGGTAATAGTTTTATATTGTACTTAATAAATTAAGCTATACATAACTTGTACTTCTCATTTTCTTAAACTGCTTCCATCGAAAATAATTGACAATTTTTATCTGATATGTATTATTCATTATTATTAAATTGAACAGTTATTATTAAACTAGTGAATTTTTTATTATTACAGTAGATAATCCGATTATTCAAATGTCAATTATCTGAAATAACGATCATCCCAAATACTGATTATTATCAGTACACGAAACGAGTCACTAATATTTGTTAAAAGAATTAGATTAAAAGAAAGACGATAAAATATACCATTCATTACTCTTGAACGATGTTCAAGTAAATTAGGGAACACTTTAAGTGTCAATACGATCATTTTTTAATTATGCTGGAATTCTAGGAAATAAGCAGCCGTATGAACATGTTGCTGTTCACAAAATTTATAGAAATTCTTTATTTATTTCTAGAGGCTAATGAATATTAAACTTTGAAGAATTAAACTGAATTGTAATAAAAAAGATTCTGTTTCATTTATGCAAATTGTAAAGAATTAATATACTACAGAAATAATTAGTGACTGGTTCTTTACTTCTCATTTATCTAATAGTTCATTGGATTTCCATGAGCAACGACAGAAGTTATTTTAGTGAAGTCGATCTAAAAATATTTGATTTATTTATTAAATTTCTTAAAGAAAAAGGTTTTCTAGTGGATAAACGTTTTCAACAATTTTAGCATCTAATAACAAAACAGTTTTATAAATGATTTGTCTGTTTCGATAAAGTGGAATACTAACTTTCTTCCTTCTCATAATTATTATCTCTGTAAAAAACCATATAATGGTGTACGTAGTGTTTATATCATTATTGATTGTAATACGTGCGTATGTGTTAACGCCGATGTTAATTAAGTTCTAGACACATCGATCTCACTAAATCATCCGATAATGTTTCATTGAGTTACTCATTAATTGTTCTCCCGATACGTCTATTCTTATGAATGACGAACAGTCATTCATAGACACACAAGGAGGATTGTGACATATCGAAAAAAATTGTAGGTTTACGATTGCCAGCTCGCATCTGTGACTCAATAACATCGCCAAGATACAATGCAAATATAACTCATAACTCTTATCCTTTGTGTATTTGTAATTCTAATCGTAAATAGGGACTGTACTACCGAATACACTATTAACGTTTTATTGAGAATATATTCTGTAAACTTTTGTACAAAATTCTTGATTTAATTTTGTAATAGAGAAATGTTCTTTTTGTTACACGCAACCTACAATTCAAAAATATTTCAACGTTAAAATTCGAATCAAGAAAAATTAATTTTTCCATTATTGTAATTATCGTAGTAGTCGCTTGTGAATAATTTAATTACAGTGTTGTATATGGAGTATTGAATAAAAAATCTTGAAAAAGTCTAGATTTTTTTGTATGATACTTAAATGTAAATATATTTTAAAGAAAAATGTATTTCTATGGAATTTTTATTTATGAATATTGGTCTACAAAGATATAAATTTTCATCAAACATGTATTTCGTATATTTTATTTAAAGACACACGCAAATACTTTCTCCAATATGAGAATATCTATTATTTCTGTTGAACAATATTACTCTGAAAGCACCGACGCATGAACGTGTCTGAGAACTTTAACCATGAAAAACACATGGTTAATGCACCGTGTGCGGCTGCATTGTGGTTTTATGTGGCATTAAAGAGTACCTGGAACGTTGTCTATAATAGGCGGAACCGTTAAATGGTATATAAATATGAATCAGTTAAGGTTGTGAAATGATTAATAAGTGTCGATTAAGAGGTGGTATTGTTTCTCAGCATCAAGAATGTGAATGCGAGCGCCACACGTGCGGCGAAAGATGCGAAAAATGCTGTCCCATGTACAATCAGATTCCGTGGAAACCTGGCACAGCTGCGAAGGGCTTTCACTGTGAGAAATGCAACTGCAATGGACATGCAACCTCGTGCAGATATGATCAGGAAGTGGCCGACAGGAGAATGTCCATGGACATTCGTGGGAAATTTCGTGGTGGTATAAAAAAAAAAAAAAAAAAAAAAAAAAAACGAACAGAATTGAACGATTCCCGTCACTAAACCATTGACACGAACTGTTACGAAAGAAAATCTCAACATTGTGTTACTTCATATGTTTCACTTGAATTGATACGACAGAAAACAGTAATATTACAAATTTTATTCTGCCCATTATGCTGTATAGTTTGTATTGGCATCCTTTCGTTCGATATTTTGTAGTGATTAATAAGAATATTAACCCTCGTTCACTGTTCCAAAAATTATTGCATTAAGTGTTGCATTAAAATCGGATCTAAGGAAGTATATTTTCTTATCGCTTAATTATAATGTATGTAAGTTATTGATGTCAAATTAATTTTGAAATTTCTATAATAAAAAAAACAGTGCTCGAGGGTTAGAGTGTAAAAATGTGAGTTGTTTTCAAATCAATTAAAGGAAGGAAACGTGTATTGACAGAAAGACAATGTTATTAATATCATTATGGTGAATTGGTTTGTTTCAGGAGCACACGGCTGGTATTAATTGCGAAATGTGTCAGGATGGATATTACAGGCCGAACGGTGTCGCCCCTGATGCACCTGAACCTTGCTTACCGTGCAACTGCAACGTACACGGTAGCACGGGTTACTGCACTCCGGATGACTCTTACACGCACATGGGAAAGGTAGAGACAGTCGTATGCAATAAACTTTTTAAAAAAAATAACATCATTAATTAATCGTGACATCATCAAATAATCCTGACTACTCAAAAATAAGGTTACTATTATTATTTATTGTATATACAAAATTCGAAAATAAAATCATTAAGGACTAAAATAAGAAACTTTAATGTTGGTTAAACAAGCGTTTATAGCTTCATTAATGTGGCGATATTCTTCGTAGAAAACGAATTTTTTTACCTCATTCTGCTTTGTTCAGAGACAATTAGAAGATGAATTTGTCTAAATAATACACAGTCTACTTATAGTATATAGAAACTAATGTTAATGCATACAGAGTTCCTTTTAACATCCACAAAAATATTAGGTACATGCAAAAGAAATGGTGAAAATATTTTTTAAAAGATGTGAAAGAAGTACAAAGGCAGAATGAGATTACTTAGAACGTGATCCTATCTAATTACTGTTTACAAATTGGTCTTGATCGAATTAAACGCTGATTGTGTTCTAGGTAGCAGGTGCTTGCAATTGCAAACCCGGCTACTCCGGCTACAAGTGCGACCAATGCGCCGCTGGATATCGTCAGTTCCCTGACTGCATGCCCTGCCCGTGCGATTCCCGTGGGATCCTTCCGTCCCACGATTGCGAAGGGGACTGTCTCTGCAAGGCAAACGTCGAAGGCGAATTCTGCGACGAATGCAAATCAGGACATTTCGCGTTAACGAAGGAGAATCTCGATGGCTGTCTATCGTGCTACTGTTTCGGCGTCAGCGATCGTTGCAGCACGGCGAAACTGTCTTATTCCACGGTATTTATCTTGAAAACTCTAAAATTACACTTAAAAAAAAAAATTAAAATTGATACTCACCTATGGGTTTTCACGCATCGTGAATGAGTTCAATTCTCTGAGGAACTGTTGTTCAATTAATTTGTGTAAATTACCATCGATTGTTGTCCAATTTCAGATATCCTCACTGGAAAATTGGCTTGTCACCGACATGAACGCTTCACGTGCTGTTGTTCCCATTGTGGACACGGACAATAGTTGGCTGACGGTGGCAGCGTTCGAAGTCGAGTACGATACTCCATTTTGGTTGGCTCCGCCGATTTATTGTGGCAGTCGTCTCTCATCGTACGGCAGTAACATCACTTATTCTGTCACCTGGGTCGTTATGCGCGGCGATACCAGCGGAAAACCGACCACTGGGCCCAATGTTATTTTAGTTGTGAGTATCCATTCAGTAATACGTGACCAAGTGATACATATGGCAGAAGAAAAATTTGTAACATTGTAATTTTAATGTTTACGTTTAACATTTTAATCGGTTCCATTAAATTACGCGGAGCAACATTCAATTTTTAGTCAGTAACATTAAAATTTTCTGAATATAATTAATAGTGAAAAGTTTATATTTATAACTTAAATTTATCATATTTTCACAAAGTTTGTGTTTCCGAAACTAATGGTTTTGAATAAAAACACAATTTTTGTTGTATGTCTGCATTAATAGTGTACATGTATTTGTTAGTATTTTAAAAAAATATGATGCTTCATCAGATTTGTTTACAGTAATTCAAATAGTAATTCAAATATATAATTTATGTATTGTATATTGTTCCTGGTATTTACATTTTATGCATATTTTAACATTATAGAATATTTTCCGAATATTAAAATTACTCTTTCCGCACTTATGTGTATACAGTAAAAAATTAATTCGGACAAAAAAAGTTTTCAAATGGTTCAATTATTATTCTTCAAAATATTTCTAGAATGAAATGGAAATCCTTCATTAGATAAAAAAATTCAAGCTTAATATGAGAATCCATAAACATATTTAATACACAGAATTTTTTTTCATTATACAGGGTGATTCGGTAACTTTGTTATACAAATAGTTTCCAAACTAATTTTTATGTCTATGTCATGAGTAATTTTCTCTTTTTTTTTCGAAGATTACTTATAAATCTTTGTGAAACAGATGACATTACGTTTCTGTGGCTACTCGTTAAGATTCTTCGTGTGTATCAAAAATTTATCTGGCCACTTTATCCACTTGTTTTACTTATTCCATTTTTCGGTTCTTAGCTCGACTCCGAAAGGCAGATAGCAATGATTACCATTTCTGTAAAATTAATCTGCCCGTCTTATTTCTTCCCAGGGTAATAATGGCATGCGAATAGCTTACGGCGAGGAACAATATAATGGCCAGGAAGCGGAGATCATCGTTCCTCTTCGTGAAAACGGCTGGTATCACGTACGCAGCGAGATCCAAGATATTCCTACCAGATTAAGGAGAACCGAATTTCGCGGGGATCCTGTTACCAGGATACAAATGATGCGGGTTCTCGCGGATTTGAAGTATCTTATGATAAGGGCGAAATATCATTCCGAGCAAATCGAAGGAAGGTATGCAGAGTTAACAATGGAATTCTTCGAATTATTTTTTGTTTCAAATCCTTTTCCTTCGGTCCTTTTTATTTAAAATAAATCATAAATTCTAGCTTAAATATCAACCAAAAAATGAGAACGATCATCCTTTTGAATTTACTGGCTTATACAGAATAGAATAATATATGGTTTGATGATGCGGAAGTCGTTTGATTATGATTGTATTTACAGTATTTATGGTCTTGTTTATAAAAACAGGTATTAAATTAAAATTTACATCTTTCGTTAATTATTTTACTACGAAAAAGATAAAAAGAAAAGAAAATTCTGTTAAAGTTCCTACTTTATTATGGTATATTTCACAGAATCTGCTGTTTAATTATGATTTTATTATTGTTTAAATATTATTTCATGTAAATAATACACGAAAAATTAAACATACATAGATCTACGTCGAACAAAATTAGAATCTATTCAAAACACAGGTTGCAGAATGTTTGATGAACAATAGAATTCTTATGAAATTATTGAAATTCTCTTCATATTTCTTAATATTTCGATGTAGGTTGTTCGAAGATATATCAAACTGATTATTATACCACAGTAAAATAAATATCGTGTTGAAATTTAGTCTACATTTAAACTACAAACCAATACAATTAATCAAATAGGAAAAATAAATATTTATTTAATCTCGACCTTTCCAAAATTACTCAATCCATTTACGAATTTATATAAATATCCAAAATATACATACTGACTGTGATGCATTCATTCACGCAAGAAATTTTTCATATAATTCAATTATTATTTCTTAGTAGACAGATTGGATTTTTTAATGTTTATTTGAAAACGATTTTTGTCATCGACCCTCCAAATGACCGCGGCGTCAAAATTGTTTGGATCGCAGTATACCTGTAACCCATACCAGCCTCTCCATTGTTTCTACTTATCAGAGGACAGGGAATTTGAAACGATATACAATAGGGGCCTAAAGGTTAAAAACTTATAGCTGACGTTATTCTGTTTCAGTCTGCAATCAGCGGTCGTGTCGGTCGGAGAGGTCACTGCTAATACTGACAGTGCCAGTTTAGTTGAAATGTGCGAGTGCCCCGAAGGATACACGGGATTCTCGTGCGAGAACTGTGCGTGGGGCTATGTAAAAGTGATAAAAAATGGATCCGATCATCGGGAACATCACACGTGCGTTAAATGTGACTGCAACGGACACGCGAGTACCTGCGATCTCGTGTTGGGAGGATGCACGGTAAGTACTGTAGCGTTTCTTACTTCAGCGACTTGTGAAATAATGAAAATTATTTAATATAATTTAACATTACTGAAATACTAGTGCTAGTTTAATATCCATTTGGTGAATTGAATATTGATATTAATGAATATCAATGTTGGTTTAATTGGGTAAATCTTGATATTAATAAATATTATATTTTATACGGATATTTAATAAATATTATATTTCATACGATATGTAATGTATGAAAATATCACAGTTTTAGTATAACTTTAATATTATTCGAGATAAGAGTACACAAAGATAATAGCAAAATTGACTAGACATTAATGATAAGTAATGTTAATTTATACAAAAGTAATCAAGATTTCTGATAAAGAAAACAAACATTTGTTTCAAAATTTTCTGTGTTTAAAAAACTAAAATTTCGAGTTTGTTCATAAATGGTAGTGTAGACACGAACCTAATATAGCTTACATAGGTTCCTTCCTTATCCCGAACAACCTAACCATCTAGTGATATCGTAGGTATTCTAAGGTAACTTAGAAACAACTACATATTTATGTAATGATAACGTCAATCAATTTTTGACATTTTATGACAAATAATTAAAAATCAAATAAATACGTATGCATTACTACTGATTCCCTTGAAGTATTAATGAACTTGATAATAAACATACACTAGTAAAATGTATTAGTGTGTTTAAATTATCTACAAGTTCTTATCAAATATTTAAAATTTAAAATTTCTTCCGAATAATTTCCAAAGAGATAATTGATACAGGAACATATGCATGATTTTATATTCAATTCCGAACCTTTTTTTTGTTCCAGACATTCTTTGTAATCTTTACTTTTACCAACAGTCAATAATAAGAATGTTTAAATAATAATTGTATTTATCGAAATATACTGCACTGTTCAGAAAAATTAATAATCTAAATAAACTAAATTATTATTTCATAGAATATGAAACGTTTTAAATTCTGTAAAAGATCGCGTAAATCACATATTTAACAAAAAAATTATTTTATCGAAGATATCCTGTATTAAATTATTATTGGAATATTTTTTATTAGGGTATATGTATACATTATAATATTCCTGCATTAATGAAATTTATTTTTTACATACCTTTCAACTCATCAAGCGTAAAATTTTCGTTAATGTGTCATGTTTAAGTCAATAATATTTTTTTCAGATGAAAAATTTGTATAATGTACCACTGACTGCTTTTATTTATTTTACTTACTAACTGCAAAATGGTTTCGTATTTTAAATCCACAATTCAGTACAAAAACCTTTATGGTACAGTAAATTTTAATACAAACTAATATATTTTTATCGACATTACATTAGAATATTCTTAATTCAAACGATGAAATTAAATAAAAATCCCTTAGAATATTTTCAATACACGACGAAATGAAATAAATTAAATATATAGTTCCAATTGAAAACCAGTTTTTCTTGTTCAATGAAAGTTACATTTATTCGTTCGATAGACTTGCGAGCACAACACAGTGGGTCCAAAATGTGATCGTTGCGCGCCTGGTTTTTACGGTATCGCCCTTTACGGTACGCCTGACGATTGCAAGAGATGCGCCTGTCCTCTCCTCGTCGAGTCCAATAATTTCAGTCCAAACTGTCAGCTCGACGATCCTAACGACATCAACAGCGGTTACGTCTGTACACAGTGCCCGAAGGGGTACACAGGTGACCACTGCGAAAGGTAAACGCAAAATAAAACGTACACAAAAATTGTATACGTAAATATTTTTCTTAGAAATGGGATGAATATTTTACACATTAAATCAAATTATGCATTGCAAACTGAAACATCAGAAATGGATGAAAACTTGTATTATTTTCTTGTATCGTTGCCTTCTAAGTAATTATATCGATTAATTTACAAAAATTAGAATTTGTTGACTCTAGTAAAGGTTCCATCAGATTCCAAATGAAATGAAATCATTGATTTATATTAAATATTTTATTTCATGTACATACATATTGAGTTTCAAATAACTGTTAGTTACAAAAAACATAGCATTTCATTAAAAAAAATAGAGATGACTCTGAAATCTCCTTTATACCTTCACCCACGCAAAAAATGTTTGTGTCAATATGCCCCCCTCTATACCGTGTAAGTTTTTTATATAACATTTTTTTATATTACTACAAATAACGGAATATTCAAAGTGGACATAGTTATTGTCCCACCCTGTATATATATGTATATACGTTTCTTTCTTTTGTAGTTCGATAGGTCTTTTAATATCGTTCACTTTTCTCATTAAAAGTTTTTTGCTATCTCGTACGGTTAACAAGATACACATTGAAAAAAACGAAAAATTCGGCAAACTTTAAGGGGTGATTTCACCGCCTTAGAGTGAATGTCAGCCGAAAAAAATCGTTCCTTGCATAACTCGATGCCCTCTACAATCCCAAGTTTCATTAAAATTAGAACCTGCTGGTCGGGAAAGCTTCCTTGTGAGTTATAAATAACCTTCATTTTAACTTTCATTTTAAATTTCATTCTATTTCGAGGCACTTTACAGTTATTATCAATTCATTATACATTTTCTATTACTGTTAAATTTTACAATTTTCTTTTCACTTATATATTTCTAGTATTATTTCTGATGTTACTGATATTATAACCCAATAATATATGCAGAATATTTACAAGATGGCCATACGAACAAACTGTATTTCATCTGATTTTATATCGACAGTTGCGACATTGGATTTTTTGGAAATCCTTTAATTCCCGGCGGTACCTGCGAACCGTGCCTCTGCGGCGGTGGTCCATGCGATCAAGAAACAGGCCGCTGCTTGGAGTGCCGGGGCAACACGGAAGGTTGGAAGTGCGACAAGTGCAAGCAGGCTCATTACGGAGATCCGTTGGAACAGAACTGCTTGCGTGAGTATTCTCATAGTTCATTTCACCTTTAATTAGTTACACTGCGGATATTTTTGCAAATATATATGTTCATTGAAATAATTTCTTCATAAACTTTCATTAATATATTAGGTGAACCAATAAATGAACCACTATTTACTACTAAATTTAATATTTGCTTAGAAGAAAAGATAAACATATGTCCCCGTAGTAAATTTGTTATTGTTCTCTGACATTCTACATTGTCTGTACGAAACAAGAGGGCAAACAAGTGTTAATTTAATATCTGATTGGACTAACTATTTTACTAATTCTTTTATAAAACATTTGTGACTCGTTCTGTGTTCCGGCACACGGTGTTTCGAATAATTGGCGTTTCCAATAATCAACGTTTTACTGCTACCAATCGCAGGGCGTAACCAACGTTACCGCGGAAATTACCTCAGCAGACTCGCGCTCTGATTGGTCGAGTTTTTTCGTTAATATCTCATTAACAAAGCCTCCGATAACATTTTTGCTAAGGAAAAACTTGTTTCAAATCACCTCACGAGTCCCCATTTCCGGGTCCTCCAACATTTTTGTTACACCCTATATAATGCCTCTCCGAACTACAGTAAATTTAGGTATGACCCTCTCAATAGATGTGCTATGTGGTACTCTTAAGTGTACTGGGTAGTTCTTCAAAAACGTTAGCCACCCCTGGACACAGAACTTGCCACCGAAACCCTTAAAGGGGTGAAAAATCCGAAGGCCTGCTGTTTTTACGAAGTCACTACAAAGTCTTGAATGAAAGGGTTAATTTCTGGGTTATATTCTGTCTCTTGTTAAAGTATCGAATTTTAAATTATATCTCGGAGAGGCGCTATACCTACCGATATCGCCAGAGCAAATGCTAAAAATCTGAACCTGATTGTTGCAGCTTGCGATTGCGACCCTCTCGGTAGCAATACCGTCGAATGTAACGAGAGGAGCGGTCAGTGTCCGTGCAGGCCTTTGTTCGAGGGTCGTGACTGCTCCTCCTGCATCGAAGGTTACGGGAACGTGACTGCAGGTTGTCGGGAATGCGAGTGCGACGTGGGTGCCCTCGACGAGGTCTGCGATCCCGTAACCGGTGAATGCAGGTGCGCGGACGGCGTCCTTGGCTTCCGGTGCGATCGCTGCGACGTCGACCATTACGGCTTGTCCGTGGGAGGCTGCAAAGGTAAGTACCGTTTCAGAATTCTTTTTTTTTTTTTCTTTTTTTTAGTGAACGCCGGCTTATCGTGGCGGCCGGTGTGTGGTGTGTCTTCGGCTCGTACGTGTTTAAGGGTCGATTCAGGGTCCCCTCCTGAGATTCTGATCGGTTCGTGTAACGAACGCTTGTTCGAGATCGTAATGTTTCCATTGATCACGGTGCTTTAACTCGGGTTCTTGTATGCTGCATCGTGCGATTCTGCTTTTTGTATATAGAAACTTATGGTTAATTCATTTGAAATATTTCGTGGGGAAGTATTTAATAATTAAATGATTGAAAATTGGGTTATAGTTTCAGAGATCGATGGATTGTTAGATTATTTACTGTGACGAAGAAAGTATTTATACGTCTCTGGACGATTTGGCTGATGTAATTGCATTTGTATTTTTCAAGTACATCGTTGCACTTACTAACAAAGTGAAGTCATAGAAAAATAGACACTAACAAACCATTCAACATATCCCTTAACAGTTTCTTTCTATCTCTTACCAGTTTGAACATATAACCCGTTCCAATTACGTGTGACGTACCCTGTATACCCAAGAATTACCATTTTTGCCACGGAGTCATTTTTCCTAAGCAGGTATTAACATTTTTGCCACGGACGAATTACCATTTTTCACCGAATAATTCGCCTCGAGTAATGGCGTTCCCAAGCCTCGGAAGTATTTGCAATTTCAAAAGAAATCCACGGGGAAAATCATCCCCCTTGTGCACATTCAACTGACCGCTACCGTCGGTTCGATGATTAGGAAGCGTGTTGTAGGACGCAGGAAACGGCGCGTTTCGCCGCGGAGAACCGCCAGGAACACGAGTAAGAGTAATGCATAACGCTTCGTCTTGTTCTAACTAAGCCGCGGATGTTTATCTGTCGAGTTCTTTAAGCACGGTGGGCACTTATCCAAACGGACAGGAATCGTGAGTTCAGGATGTTACTTGAGATTTACAAGAGCCGAAGCAACCCTTGGCCCGCGGAACGACTCTGACGTGTAATCTGTTTAGCTTAGTTTTAATTTACGATCGCGTTTTCCGCGGCCGGTACTTACTGTTCCGCTTGGCGATGCCCGCGTGTTTCAGCGACTGCAAGGTTAGGCATAGAATTGTTTTCTTTTTCTTTTTTTTTTTAGCACTTCGTTGTGGGTAGACTGCGGATTTTAATGTAGGTTTTAGTGTGAATTTAGTAAAAGTATTCAATGAACAGACATTCGGAGTCGATTGAACAATTTTTGGATTAATATTTTGGATTTTGACTGTTAATATTTAATATTTTGGATTGACACTTGGATAGGTTGTACTCTTAAGTGATGTATAAATGTATCTTGAAGGATTTTTGACAGTTCTAAAAATTATTGGTTCTAAAGATGTTTGTAGTATACATAGGTAGTGTCAATCTTCTTTCAATAAATCGTAACTGTTGAACTAAGAAACTGATCAAAATGAGCTTTATGGGTGTTTAGAGTGGAGACATAAGAGTGCGTAATAAATATTATTTCAGCTAAACAAATATTTTTAACTATTTATTTTGTAATTGCTTTAAAGAAATACAGTTTTATAACAATAGAACCCAATTGGAAAATTTGAACAAAAAATGAGGATAGAGTCTTGATTGTCCTCTTTATGGACAAAGTTTAAAAATATGCACATTTTTAATTTACATAAACTTATTATTTATTTCATTCGGGGTAGTTTTTATTCTTTTTTATTCAAAAACAATGTTATATTCCTGAAATGTGTATTAAGTTTTTTTTCTAAAAGATACCTATCTTTTTGTTACTTTAAATTTACCAAGGATGGAGTTGTTTTTTTTTGCTCAATTCGTAGCAAGATAATTAATTATAATTTTAGTTTTGTCTGGGGGCAAACATAATTAGGGTATCATTTATACATTCAAAATGTCTTTGGCTTGCAAACTTGAAATATCAGCACGTCGCTAAATTAAATATACTCATTGGTCATTTAATACTTGGCGTTTCTATATGTAAATTGTTTCCTGGGGATATCATTTCTAATATAATATTTTTTTCGTGCAAAATAGGGAATTTCGTTAATAATAATCATCCATATTCTTACACCTTTAAAAACCTAGTGTTTTTGGTACAACAGAACAAAATGGAAGTTTTTCGATCATAGAATCAAAGACCTGAAGGAAATGCTATCGACTTCAAGAAAATTATTTAGTTTCTTAAGAGAAATATAATTTAATACATGAAATGTGACAAACTAAATCAATAACCACTAGTAGTTGATGCAACCAGAAACACACTTATATTAAAGAAATAGAAGCTTTCAATATTCACAAAAAAAAGTAAATAAAAAACATGGTTTGAACCGTTGTGGAGGCAGTCTTAAGATCACTACAGCCAGTAGATTCCACGAGAACGTTCAAGATCGGCCTCGCAGATCAGCTACCACAAAGAAACCCATAAATCGTAATCATTCAGCGTAAGGCCCAATGGTCGCGTAAACACGCTTAATGTTCTCCAGTTCCTCCTTCGCCGTCATCGTTGATCTAACCGGGGATCACGCCAGTTGCGTAATCTACGCACACTCGAGTCCTGAAAATCCATTATTCGAAAAATCGATTGATTCATTTCTTGCAAAAACAAATGAAAATGTAAAGAAAATATGAAAATCTTTCACTATCCAAATATCATAAAAGTAGATCATCATAGACATCTACCTTCTGTGATTGATCATTGCTCTCTTTGCATAATCTTCATACCACAATAACAATAATATCACTAACGAAGTCAGTATTATTATTAGATCCTAAAATTCATTCCATTTATTTAACCCTCCGCGATCACATCTCTTTTCTCAAACGTAGTTCTTATACTCGGTCAATTTGACCCAAGCCAATATTCAATCAGCTGTTGTTTAAAATCTATTCGTTAAATTAAGTCGCAAAAAATTCTGAAATGAAGTTTGTCCATTGTAGATTACATATTCATGGTTAAAAATTAACATGTTACATATTATGTAAAAACATTTTTGAAGGAAACAAAATTCTAAACAAAATGTTTTTAAGATATCTGAAATTATTACTATATATCGCCAGTAGTACCACTTCCAATGATGCCTCGAAGATATTTCACTTCAAAGTAAAATTCTGGATTAAGTCGACCCACCGTGACAACGGAGGATTAAATGCCTAATCGTGCATTGGATTCGTATAATGGACCATTATATACATTAAATTCCACTGTATCACTAAAACTAGTTTCTTCATACATTTGTCGGTTTATTTTGCGCATTATATACTAGGTGGTTTTATTTTCACAAGAATATTGTCGTAATTCCGCAGTATACACTCCCTTTCAATATTTCACGGTCTAGTCTAACCCACACCCAAGTCACGCTAGAGAAAAACTGAAATTTATTGTTTCATAGCTGCGCAATTTATTCCCCCTCTGGAAAAAAATTCAAGATCGAATCCTTGGTTACGATTGGTCGAAACATCGACTGGGACACCGTATCTCACGACCGCTTCGCGATACGGGGACAGATATCATAAGATATGGCGGACCGTGTGCAACGCCGGTTTCTAGCTCGGTTCAGCTCAGACTACGGGTCCGAGCCACGACTTGTCTGAGATGTTAATTAACTTCCTGCAACCACGGCAATACGCAGCTTCCTTCTTTCTCGCCTCTGTACGATACGCTTCGTTTAACCTGGACCTGCCTCTATTTTACTTATACAGTGTGTAACAAAAATGTTGCTCGTCCCTGAAATGGGACACTCGTGAGGCGATTTGGAACTAGTTTTTCCTTGGCGAAAATGTAATCTGAGGCTTTGTTAACGAGATATTAACGAAAAACCCCGACCAATCACCGCGCGTGTATGCCGACGGATCTCCCGCGGTAGTGTTGGTTACGCGCCGCGCTTGTACTACGAACCTCCGAACAAGGAAGTTGGCATGCATCGCAGGAAACTGCGTATAATGGCATATAAAATAGACGTAACAAATAACATCATACTTTTTATCATCTTTCGTATGTTGTTTAAAGAGATTAATGAATGAAGCATAAATGTAAATAAAATTTCGGGTCGACAATGTCGGATCGAAAATTTCGAGGGGTGATTTCACCCCTTATAGTCGCGTCTCAGCAGATAAAAAAAAATACGTATCCCTTATTTTTGACTGCTTAACGAACATACGAAGTTTCATCAAAATCGGAGGGGGACACTTCCGTGCTTGTAAGTCGTTTAATGCACTCTCGTGGGATCTTTAGAGAATGCTGACGACGGGGAAATAAGTCGACAGAAAGTAGGTATAGCAAGTGGTGGGAAGGAATGGTTACGTGTAACATGACATTGAAAATGTTACAACATTTATATTGATGAGTATAGACTAGAAAATTTTTGTATTAAGATCTAGGGTATGAGCTAAGGGTTTAATGGGAAATGGTAAAAATGTTACAAATATTGAAAAAAATGCAGGTCAGGATAAATAATAAAATCTCCATTATACTGTGGTGTATAAATGTTTTATACATATAAAGGTTCCGTTTACAGTTTTATGTACAAAACCTCGAAGTTTTTAAATAGACCAGTAGAATTTACAAGTACACTATGATTCATAAGTATCGGAACACTTTTCAAACATGAAATAAACTTAAAAATTGTTATAATATTTTAAGAATATTAAAGACATACTTTCTTTACGAAATATTGAATTCAGAATGTAATTTTTATGCTAATATAAATGATAAAACTAATGTAATGTGAATGTAAGTCAAACATTGTTCATTTTGCTGTAAAGAGTTTTATCCTAATACTTTTGAACGGAAGTGTACTCTTTGTGCAATATCTCTTGTTAAACACAATTACCTAATCAACAAAAACAAGTACTATGTCAGAGGTACGTAGTAGTGTTGTACCATGGACATAATTACCTTTTTTTGAAACATTTATAGTTCTAGTAAAATATATTGAAATCATTCTACAAAAATTAAGTCATATGTCTTATTAATCTGTAAAATATATACAGTATATAAAGTACGTAAATTATTTAGGATTTTTGAAAAAAAAAAATAAAAACAAATAATGTACCCAAGGTACAAAAGGTTCCCCTACACACCTAGATAGTAAACGTAACTCACAATTTACCACTGTTACAATAGAGGATGCGACTCTGGAGTATTTCTCATAGGCGATATATGGTTCCTATCTTGACAAGATCTTAACAACCACTGGCATATACAAACGTGGGTAATTTAGGGTTAAAAAAGTGAAGGTGTAAAAACACATCTTACGGTCACTGTACGTCAATTCAGACCGCAGTCCCCGAATCTATATACCACAATTTCTCCCCATGACCCATCTTCCAATAGCAAAAAAGAGCCCAGCGTTAATCATTTCCCAAGAAAGACAAATATATTAGACAAACAGTTAGCAGAAGTCTAGGATTTGTTGTGATTTCCACAACTGTAAATCAATCATTGCGCTCGAAGCTGCCTTAGAACCCCCTTTAACTGTGCTCCGCGGTGCAATTAACGATGGCTAAGGCGCTTAGGTCGCCGTACACGATACGATAATCCGAGTGGCTTAATAAGACCGCGTTTTCCATACGTCGTCCTGTATGTAAATTCTCCTCCTGTACACGGCCAACTCACGGCCAATGGTCACCTGCGAGCCGCGAAGATACGCGTCCTCTCAAGACCCTCGTAACAGCGTGCATCAAAATAGACGCTGCCACGCAGGCTGCAACCGAGATGCAATTAGCACATCGGTAGCTTAATCGGGACGTCGATTCCAAAACGAATGAAGTCACAACTTTTCCTTTTTATTTTATTTTTTTTCTTTTTAGTTACGGGAAAGAATGAGAATAGTAAAAAGTCTCGCGTGGCTCGAGCATGGAGTCATCGAGAATGGGCGCTGATGCCGATTCGTGGATGGAATCGCTTCTGATATTACATTTCAAACTCGAGTTTCCTGAAAGATTTGGGACACGAGAATGTAAAGTTAATTCGCAGCTTCTACTCACTTAGCGGGGCTTTGGTACTCGATGGATTTAATGAAATATGGTCGGTTGATATGTACCTACAGGGTGACAAAAAGGGTTCATAACTTCTAGGGTAGTACTTGTCAAATGATGAAAAAAAATCGTAATAGACATGGGTCGAAAAATTAATATTTCTTAAGTTGTGTACAATTTCTTGTTTCGGATAAAGCGAGTGACTTTCTCGCTTTGGAAGCTATCGTAAAAAATTCAAGTAAACTCTCAATTAGTATGAGTGTCGCTATCGCAGGAACCACAATAAATAATTTATCTTATAAAATAACAAAATTGCGCTTTCAATAAAAATGTTAAAGACTTTAAACTTAACTTTCTTAACATCAAACAAAAAGAAATGCACATTTTTCGGCGACTTTCTTATATAAAATTATGATAAATGAAAGATATAAACACGACTGTGATTCCTGCGATAGCGGGCACTCATGCCAATTAAGAATATTCTTGAATTTGTTTCAGATGAATCTCAGTCAAGAAATCACCTACACTCTAGCGGTGTCTTTTTTTAGAAGTCACTTTCATGCTAAGAAAAAACTTAAAAGAAAATACAAGATTATTTTTACAATTTTCTTATATTATTTACAGGTAATTCAATGAATACTAAAATAATGTATTTCATTACATATTGTATTTACTGAGGGAAAAGTCTCTGAAGATATCTTACTTTTACTTCTTAAAGTAGAAAGATCCTTAATCGAACAGGTCTACGTAATTTTTGCCCTCCCGTGTGGTCCATTATAATACTGGTAAAGGTAATAGAGAAATCTCGACGAGGTCTCGGTTACATTCACGGAAACGATCGAACTGTCTCGTTCCATTGTGTTCTCCGGCGCACGATTTTCTATTCCGTTTCGAGACCGTACATTCGACTGAACCTACCGTAGCGTTTCGCGCACGCGATCGGTGGCCCGAAGATAACGGAGGGAATCATTTTCACGAGGGATTACAAGGCCCAGGGCGGGCGGCCTCGAAGAGCTCCAGCTATGAGCCCCCTCTGGTCCCCTGAGTTGAACTTTATAAATGTAGCCGGGAGTTCACTTATCAACGTCGCGGTTAATGGAATCGATGCAACCAGTTGAATGGTCGCTCCTGGAGTTTGAAAATAAATTGGCTCCCGGAGCTCGGTAAAATACTCGTGTATTTTACATGATAAACAGTAAATACTCCGTTTTATTAGAAATCTGTGTACACTAGGTGGACCAATAACTTCGACTCACCTGGAATATTTTCGTTAGTTTTAGGGGTAATTTTATTTATGGAAATTGTACGATATCGAGGGGGGTATACCGTGAGAGTAAAAAATGAGTATACACTTTGAATGTAAGGGATTTATTTATATTTATTTTTCTTAATTTAGAATTTTATATTTCGCACAGATTTTCTATTATATTGAGATCTGATGATAACGGGATGTAATTCCGAAAAGGTCCACTCTCCGATTTCCATGAAACTCTGTAAAATCATCCAAATACTCTCAAATGAACATACGTAAAAAGTTTTGAAAAAAAACGAAATAGAGTCAGAAAAATTGTGCTACGTAAATAATTCAAGAAATAACTGAAACTGTGCCAACTTTATATCTAAACAGTTAGACTTTGTGACATGTAGGGGAAGAACTAGAACCAGCATTGTATTCAGTAACCTTCAACCCGTTCACTGACTTTCTCCACTAAACAGTGCATCAACTGTATCAATGGGTTTGTAATATCAGAAATATGCTTAAAACATGTTTCTGGAGCGAGTTAATCAATACAAAAAACCAAATTGGGTTCCATTATTTTAGTACTCGTTGAACAATGTAATTATCATGGAACCCATTTCAGTGGCTCGTACATCTTTTTCGCGGGTTCACGGCCCTTGGAAGTGCCAAATACTGTGGTTCTCGAGTTTCTATCCGGCAAGTACAAGAGTCGATCTTGCAGCGCGAATTGCGGTCCGCCCACGTGAGCCTGGGCAATCAGCCACGGAAATCTACATAAGCAGATGTAGACGCGCGTCGCCGGATAACAGTGCGGTGAATATAAAGAACACGGTTTTACAATCGAGCCGAGGGAAATTGAGGGATTGTGCGGCTGGTTCGACACGAGCGCTCTTCGTGGTTCGACGCGTGAACGATGTCAAACCTTTTTTCTTCACACCCTACTCGCTTCAGCACTATAGTCCAATGTCGAAGAGAATTCAAATAAACTTTCATTTGAATAGAAATAACGAATAAATAATTGAAGAACTTTCTGAAAGAGAGACCTACAGGTAGTGATGGGATCGATACCAATAGTATTGATGATATTCGATCGATTCAATATCTAAAGTGCTCAGTGGAAGTATCGATACGTATCAAAACTTTCGGTACTTGGTACCAAGTATCAATACCGATTTTTCTTGAAACGATACCAATCCAATACGGTACCGAATCGAAACCTGTTTGATATCCCACGAAAGTGTCGAAACCTGTTTGATATCCCACGAAACTATAAATACCTAGTGATGGGATCGATACCAATACTATCACGAAAGTATCGATACCTATTTGATATCTACACGAAAGATCGATATTTCCGAACGACATGGAGTCTGACTGTATGTGGGGTCGACAAGAATGTATGCTATCACCTTGTTGGCGATACACATACATCCTTCAATTTATACGGTTTCGTTTTCATACCGTTATTAAATTTGGAAACAGGAATACCTTCTATGTTTTATTTCGATTATTTTACCCCTGCGTATACAAATATATCGTTCATGCAGTATATGGTTTTTATTTTTATTTCTTCGATTTGTTACTGAACTTTGCTTATTTCATTTTGTGTTTTTTACTATAATAAATGAATTGAAATATATCCGATGGTAGGTGTTTTTGTTCTGCATAATATTCCACCAGCAATGTCCAAATTACTTCAAGTAATTATTTCTTATTTTCATGTCAAATAAAATTTGTCCAAGTCTGGTTTGCGGAAACGTGAATGCACAAGTCAGTTTGCGCAAGTTATTTGAACGTCTGAACGGCCCTCACCCTTCAGTCAGATTTCGTCCCCGACACCGGGCTCTCGCCGTTCGAATTCGCGCTTCGCGGGTTTTGCGCGGAGATCGTCTCGAGATCCGTCTGACCATGTCGATCCACGATGAACACGATCCGATCTGATAAGGAAACGACGCCCCCCGTCTCGTCGGGCGATCACTTGTCGCAGCGAAATTTATTTTCCGCCCAGCTCCCGGGGCCGCCTCTTGTATCAGCGCGCGATTTCCCTTGCCTCTCGAGCTCGATCCCTCTCGTAATCGAGCAACGCTCGCCGATGTCGTGTTCTCCGATATTTTTTCTGACAGTTCCGATCTTTTCTGCTGTTACGACCACGATAAGATTGTTTAGGGCGCAATATGCGGTAACGCCGCGAACGGATAGGTGCCCACGCTGATGAGAACCAGATCACTCGGCTCGTTTCGGATCTACGATACCGCCAGACGAATAAAGTTCTGCTCTCGAATAAGGTGCTACATACACCTATGAAGGGAAAAAGTAGGATGGATGTCAAGATTTTATTTCTCGATGAAAAAATTTGTTTATTCAAAAACGTTAGATATATTGGAAAGGACATACTGTTGCCTGTAAAATGTCAAATTTTAATTCAAAAGTTCGAAGAAGAAGCGGTCGGTAGCTTTTTTTGTTCGACGGTTTTTCGAAAAAGGAGTATACGGTAACTATGAATTTTTCGTTGCTCTTTTTCTGAAGTAACAAAGGAAAAATTGTTGTAAAGTCAGGTTAAAAATAAATAGCACTTTCATAGCCGATTTTTGTTTTTCCAATTTCTCGCAAAATAGCAGACATTTGAACATAGGAATCGACTTCATGACTGGAAATATGAAATTCTTTCATTTATAACCAATAAACCATGAAGTTTAACAAAACTCCGGCGAAAATAACCAGATAGTTATATAAAAAATCCCTGTGCTAAATTTCAAATAAATCTGTTTATTAATTTTTGAGATATAATTGTTACCGTTTCTCGTTAATTTTATAAATTTTAAAATAAACTTTTCAATGAATATAGTTTAAAAGCAGCACTACCGAAATAAAGTATTTTTGAAAAATCGATTCAATTCCCGTCGCTCATTTTCAAAACAACGTAAATTCAAGAAAATTCAAAACAATTGTGACGGTTCTTGTTTAAACAACGCGTTGAACTGTCAGCTTTCAGAATACGTGTAGATTTTATTGGTTAGGATCAGTGTTTTGTATTAAAAAAACGAAAAAGGCACCATTTACTGTAAAAATATGAAATTACTTTTTGGCCAACCGAATGGAATTTCATTCAGATACAACCATAGAGGGTCCTTCTTATTGTCAAACTGGACCCGCGATTTTCTGTATGAGCAGCGCTTAAAATCGTCCGTAGGTCATTTCTTACGAGGCACCCTGGCCCTCAGAAGAAAAGATTGGCGGAAGGGGAGGGGGTGGGGGAGCTACCATTCTCGAATGCCTTATCGATCGTACTGCACGATAAAACGTCATTCCCTTTTTAAATCGCCGCCGATATACAATACGAAGTGGCAGCGATCCTTCGTTCAGATAAGCCCCTGTATAAGGCACCCTTACGGACAGTGACACGGAGGCGACATTTCGTGGCTGTTCTTGCCGCGGACGGGTCTTCTTCTTCGCGCGCTTTCCCCTTCATACCAGGCTGATGTTTAGACCCCGACGTCGGTCTTTCACTCTCGCTGTTCGCCGCAAAAACTCGACGAAACCGCGGAATGCTGCCTCGACGTATCCCCTGGTGTATAGATTTTCGACTACTCGTCATCGTATGTCGACAAAGCCGTACAGACATATTCGCGCTTGTGTGATTAAACCTTCGTGTTTATTTGAGACCTTTTTTTTTGTTGGATGACTAGTAGTAGT